ACATTTATTGAGCATACATAGATCAATGGGTACTTTATCAGATGCATATGATACATTACACTCACACACACACACACACACACACACACACAAACAAGCACACTCCATCCTATTAAAGCGACGACGAGTCCTGTGGCACCTTATAGACCAGGGTTTCCCAACCTATAGGTCGCCCTGGCTTCTGCTGATCCCGATTGATGCTAGGATGTTGACAAGAGGAAGGGGTCCCCTTGCAAGATGACTCCTAATTATCCCTCTCAGGCAGCCAGATAGTCATCACCTAAATATGCAGTGAGATATTTGTGGCCCCTTTCTAATGCTGGTTCAAAGAGGGTCCTCCCGAGGGCAGGCACTTGCTGCTTGACTCTCAAGGCCCTCTCTCTAGGTCCAGTTTTCTTTTCCATAAGTTCACTTCCCAAATCCTATTGAGTTTGGATTTGGCTCCCAGCCCCTCTCCACCCTTGCAGCTGCTGCTGGAGGTGCTCACCTTTCACGCCTCATTCATTTCAACAGGGCAATCCCTGACAGGGGAGAGATCTATTCTACTCCCCGAAAAAAAAGACATTTTTCTTTACCTTAACTATTCCTACATCCTACAACATAAAGGGCTTGATGCAAAGTTTCTATGGAAAAGACGGGATACCAGGTTTCTCTTAATACAAGGGATTCTCTAAGAAGGCTTACCATAAGGATCTATCTATGTAGGAGGACAAGATCTCTCTATAAAAGGACTTACCAAGTTTCTGTTAATACAAAGTGATATGAGAATGATACATGGGTATAGGGAAACGTTACAGCGATTTATCCACAAAATGGAAGGGGAAGGGGGCGTGGAGAGTGCTGGGCTAACCAGGGCAGGAGGGTGCTATCGCTGAAACCAGAACCAACCCATCCCCCAGCGGATTCCCCCCTCGCCATTTCCTCTGCGCGCTTCTTGCGCCCAGGCTCCCTGTGCGCGCTGCCAGCCCCTATGGAGCCCTGCAGAGCTAGATAGATAGTCCCTGGGAAGCCCCTTCCAGCCGGCCCCCCGCCATCCTCAGGCCGGAGGCGTTTACCCCCCTCCCCACCTGCAAAGGACAAATGGTTCCTTTTGCCTCGGGCCCAAAGGGGAGCGGCCGCCTCCCACGGGCTGGGAACGAGATTCCCCCCTCCTGGGCAGGGGCTGGACGTTGAGTCAGCCGGGCTGCTCCTCCGCCCCGGGTGCGCCAGTGTGCGACTCCCTCTCCCGCGCCGCCAGCGCACGGCACCTCCGGCGGGGGTGGGGGGGGATTGTGCGGGCCCCA